TATGTGTGTGTGTGTGTGTTTGTTTGTTTTTGTATGTTTGTATATATATATATATCTATATCTATATATATATGTATATATATATACATTTATATACATGTATATATATATAATTTATGTGTTGATGCAATTACTATCTATGCATACATAGGCCAGTTTCGTATCTGTTTGAATGAATGATCGTTGCTAGACATACAAAATGTTTACCACAGAAGAAACAGTACACCGGTATAGGTATCAGAGGCATACGTGTTCTACTTTTGTAAAGTCAGTCTATTGCTTCGAAGTCGAACAAATGCCAAACGAGCTATCGGTTATTCTGTGATGAGTTCGAGAACTACATCGTTTGAACCAACAGACATTACTTGAACAAGACAGCCCCACGTCAAACCTCAAATACAGAAGCGCACTAGATTCGGGTTACTGACACCTTTGCTTTCGCATTGAATGTGTGCATGCAATAAGTATGTACAAATATAGATAAGCACAAGTATGTGTAAAATAAGTATAAATAAATATAGATAAGAACAAGTATGTGTATCATAAGTATACACAAATATAGATTGGCATACGTTTGTGTATATGAAGTAGCCGATGGTTTCTGTACAGCTGACCTCTCGACCTCTGGGTGTATACGAAACGCGCCTGACTGGTTTGTTTGCGTTCTAACTCTGATCACTACCGCCTTCGTCGGCTGCAGGTTGGAGTTAAGCACATCATTCTGGCTGTCAACTACCGCGCAGATATCATGGAGAACTTCTGTCGCCAGTACGAAGAAAGGGTAGGTATATCTCACGCACGGATGTATACTATACGGATGAGTGGGGGGGTCTTTAAAGTATGTATACGTATATACGTATTTGCTTATGTATACGTATTTTCCTAAGTAAGTGTGTATCCGTGTTTCGCGATGAAGAGGGGGGTTGTCCAGGGAGTTGTTGACAGCCCCTGTCTCGTTAGTGCTCAGATGTACCTACCTGCCGTTCAGCATTTATAGTTAGACCGTGCACCCTCACCTGCATACCATCTGTATATCCCGGTACACACATGCATCCAACCCCCTCCATTCCCATATATTCATACACACACTGTCAGCATTTTATCAATATGCATCTCTCCTCTCCTCTCCCACATAGCTTGGCATAGAGATCACCATCTCACAAGAAACCGAGCCCTTAGGCACAGCTGGTCCGTTAGCTCTAGCAAGGGACGTACTTAAGGAAGGCGGAGACGAGTGCTTCTTTGTGCTCAACAGTGATGTGATCTGCGAGTTTCCCTTCCAGGACATGCTCACCTTTCACAAGCAGCACGGCGCAGAGGGTACCATTTTTGGTATGGTTGCTGTAGGTACCCGCACGCGCAATTTGAAGAAGCTTATATATATAGATTATATATATATATTGGGAAGGCCGTTCTACGCTTCAAGAGAACAATTGCCTAGTATTGTCTAAGCTAGACACTTTAAGCTATCACATGCCGTATGCGACATAGTCTGGACTCTCTGTATACTTAACACAAGTGCAAGCCTTATATTCTTGATTAGAAGGTAAGGGTTATATATATATATATATATATATATACGTTTATTCATATACTGTCTGTTCACACTGTTGTTTTCCGCTTTGGCATTACAGTCACCAAGGTAGACGATCCTTCAAAGTACGGAGTGGTCGTCTCTAAGCCAAATGGTGAGATCATTCAGTTTGTGGAGAAACCGTCTGTGTTCGTATCCAACCGAATTAACGCCGGACTGTATCTATTCGAGACATCTATGCTTGACAGAATAGAGGTATGTATCAATCGTCTGTAACGCAAACGCATTCGGTTAACCGAGTTACAGGTTACAGGCTTCTGCTGTTTGTCTTCTCAGATGATTGATGCGTGCGCTGCTATTCTAGATTCTGAAAGATTGAGTTATCTCGATACGTTTGTCAGTGTATGCATACCTATATAGATTCTAGTTGATTATGTACTCTTGTGTCACATGTTTATCAGTATACATATATATATATATATATGCATAGTTATATATATATATATATATATATATATATGCATAGTTATATATATATATATATATTATATATATATATGCATAGTTATATATATATATATATATATAATCCCCCGTCTCAATGGCTGACTCAGACTCACCCTAAACCCTAAACCCTACACTCCTCTATCAGCTACGTCCCACGTCCATCGAGAAAGAGATCTTCCCGTTGATGGCGCATGACAGTAAACTCTTCTGCATGGACCTCGAAGGCTTCTGGATGGATGTTGGACAGCCCAAAGACTATCTTCTGGGCCTAGGTCTGTACCTGGGTGCGTGTAAACGTCACGAGCCAGAGAAGCTGGCGACTGGTGACCATGTCGTAGGCAATGTGATCATTCACGAAACGGCGACTATTGGCGAGAACTGTGTCATCGGACCGGATGTGTGCATCGGCAAGGGGGTTGTCATTGAAGATGGTATGTGTGCGTGAATTCGAAGCGGTATATATATATATATATACATATATTTATATATATCTTTATTGTTTGTTATTTATACATACCTATATATATATATATATATATTGTGTGTGTGTGTACGCCTTATAAGGAGTTTGGTAGGTAGTCTCTTACTGTGAATCGTCTAAGTGTTATTTTGCCCTCTAATGCCATACCTACAGGTGTCTAGTACAATGTCAATCGTCTATGAGTTTTGCTTATCCTCTATTGCCATACCCGCAGGTGTCTGCCTGAAAAAGTGCAGTATTCTGGAGAATAGCACCATCAAATCACACTCGTGGATCAGAGAGACTATCGTCGGATGGGGTTCTACTGTAGGTCGATGGTGTCGGTTGGATGGTGTGACAGTGCTAGGAGAGGACGTCAATCTGAAGGACGAGATCTATGTGAACGGAGCCAAAGTGCTGCCCCACAAATCCATATCAAACGATATCCCCGAGCCACAAATTGTCATGTAGTTTCTATGGCATTCTAAATATAGAATGGTGGGTAAGCGTACGATACAGTATACACAGCACTGCTGCGCGCCCGATATGAGATGGACACGGTCAATGAGATTAAGTTTAGAACTTTGATTAGATTAAATTGAATGAATAAAGATGAGTAAATGATAATATGTACTGCTTTGGGGCGAGAGGATATCGTTTGCATTTATAACCTCTTGGTTTTCTCATTCGCATTTTTGTTTTCTCATTTGCATTTAAGCTCTTCTCATGCATAGCCTTGTACTAACGTAGGAGGCTATATCACATTCGTATTAATGCATTCTCATTCGCATTCATGTTTTCTCATTTGCATTTATGCTCTTCTCATGCATAGCCTTGTACTAAGTTAGGAGGCTATGTCTCATTCATATTAATATATTCTCATTCGCATTCATGTTTTCTCATTTGCATTTATGCTCTTCTCATGCATAGCCTTGTACTAACTTAAAGAGGCTATGTCTCATTCGTATTAATATATTCTCATTCGCATTTATGTTTTCTTATTTGCATTTATGCTCTTCTCATGCATAGCCCTGTACTTACTTAGGATGCTATGTCTCATTCGTATTGATATATTCTCATTCGCATTTATGTTTTATTATTTGCATTTATGCTCTTCTCATGCATATCCTTTTACTAACTTAGGAGGCTAGGTCTCATTCGTATTAATATATTCTCAATCGCATTTAAGTATTCTCATTTGCATCTAAAATCATCTCATGCATAGCCTTGTACTAACGTAGTAGGCTATGTCTCATTCGTATTTCTATTTTCTCATCCACATTCACGTCCACTCAGGTGTGAAGTTTTCTCATTGGGATGCCTATCCTCTCAGTTCCGTGGCTCTATGCTTCGTTTGCGCATTCGTCTGGTATTGTTTTATGGTGTCGGGGTATACATAGACCCACACACATTTTGTTTGTTAACCAGTGCGTCAGGGACAAGGTGGTCGTCAGCTTGGCAGTTATGTTCAGATACACCCATTGCCTCACTTACACCTGTCTGTGAGAGTAGTCTTCTTCCACCCCCTCCCCTAAGGATGGCCTTATCCACCCCCTAAGACTGGACTACACCCGCCCCCAGATGGGTGTCGTGGTTGTTGGGGCTATCTGTACGAACTCTGGTGGTATTTGTTCATATTTCTTGCCTTTGCACAAGTCTGTCGTGCGATGCTTTGCTTACATGAAATTCCTTTCTTTAGAACCACTTGTCCGTGCTTGCGCAACACCACTCCATACCTACACATCCGTTTATCTCACCCATCTCACACGCATTCGTTCACCTCACTGCAACGGCAGTGTCTCCGTTGTCCTCTGCGAACGGCCCGTATGCTGCTTCGCTGGTTGTCTTCAGTGCAATGGATCTCTACTTAGTACAGATGAGTGGTCTCCTGTGGTGCCTATGATTTCCTGTATATACATGCTTGTATGTATGTGTGGTTGTGTGTACGTGTGTGCCTGGATATCCAAAGCAGTATTGATACTTTAGATTGCTTCGCCTTTAGGCGCACACTGCATACCGCTGCGTTGAAATCGATTGCAGATAGGTGTATACTGGTATACGGAGATGAACTATCTCGTGTTCTTGTACTTTTTGTACTCTTACAAATATGTGAATAAATGAACATGTATATAAAAGTATCATATATATATATATATATTACTACACGCATATACACGTGGACATATGTTATAACAGTCCCCTGGCCTCTGGCGCACCCTGCATGACCCAGCACAGCGAACACCCTAGCGCATGCTCCCGCCCGTCATTCGGCGGATGCGTACCCGCACACTCACTCTCACATTTCTTTGGCTTCCTGTATGTATGTATGTATGTATGTATGTGGTATATGAGTGTAACTAATCACTGTATCGAAGGGCACTGCACCTGTTTAGATATAAAATGGACTCACGGGTGCAAGGATTGGGGCTCAGTTGATTTCCTTATTCCTGTATGTCTGTTTATAATTGGTCACATATAAGTACTCTGCTCCTCCAGGCTCGTGTCCACGAAGTGTCAACAATCGGGGTTTTAGGGTTTTAAAAACCCTAAACTCTGCTCAAGTCGAGCACAATCTGTACAGGCTTTGGGTTACCTACAGAGTATTCAAACAATGTGTGCGTATCTGCCCCAAATCGAGGACCTTAACGTTCGTTGAGAGCGGATAAGTGTGCCTTGTCCTTAACCCCTGCCACAGTGATTGTAAACCCGAACCCGAATAGGTCCATGCCAATAGCCTCACCTAGACGCATATGCCACAGAGGTACTGATAGATTATATATATATATCTATATATATATATACATAGGTGGCTCGCACTTTGATTGTTTTGAGGTTCCCTGTATTCACTTTGTGGCCCTCTAACGAGAGCGTCTGAGAATAACCTCTCAACACGGAATTAGACAGACGAAGCGAAACCGATTGGCACATTTTAAACGGCACATTGAACACGCCATTGGCAGGAAGTTCGGTATTTCCCTACACGAATCAAATATTGACTTCCAATTGAAACCAAAAACTATCCTCAAGTATCTGACAGTGCCAAAAAAACACAAACGCTTCAAAAGTGCTCCTCATTCCGTGAGCAAAAGCACAGAGAAGCGAACGTTCCAGCGCAATGACACCATGCTTACAAGGAACAGAAGGTATGCATGCAATAGAGGATGGCCTCGCACACAGTATATATCTACATTTGCCCCCACAGTGGGAGATGAATGCATAGCATAGCATAT